GGTAATTATATAACAGGATGGGTCAAAACCAAGCACCCGAAAAACCTTTGATCAGATACGGAAGCAAAAAGCGATTTGGAGCAACGAAGAAAGAGAGAATATTTCTTTATGCAGTGAAAACCGAAAAGATACAGTTAGATCAAGTGACATCTCAGGTAAAAATAATACTGCGAAACATGACGGATGTCTGGTCGGATGAATGTTCACCATGTGTAAGATGTATCAAAGTGGGCAACGACAGCATAGTTGTATCAGGCATCATTCTGCGCAGAAACAGTTATCTGTGCATTTAGAAGGGTTCATAGACAGGCAAAAGCTTACATTCAAATGAACAATTACCAGCATTTTATAAAGTATAGAGTAGGCGTTTATGTGACTATATTACGGTACCTTTTAATGTAGCAAAAATTAGTATAAGCGAACTGCGATTGCTGATAGTACAGCGTCTTGTACAGCACCAGCAGAGTGGGTTATTGGTGCAAGATAAGTGCTAGTAACTCGACATAATGTCTTCAGCATTTCCATAATAAAAGAGACACGGTCTGCATCATGCACGTTACTTTAACAGTATTAGATAGATACTATCGAATTCATTCGTTTTGTTGTGTTCAATCGGATATACGTAATTCCAGATTTTAATTTGATTGTAGAAGAAGAAGTCCATGGAAGCGTTTGTAAGCGGACCTTCATTCGGTCCAATGGAACCTTTGTTACGGCAATAATAATTAAGCTGGATATTAACAAGAATACTAATAAATTTTTCGACTTCACTCTAATTTTCAGAGTAGCTCCTTAATTTTGGTGGAATCTGAGCGTACGCAACTTTGAAAATTCTGATCTCGTCTTTCATGTTTCAGTAAAACCTCTGACTGAGGAGCCTTCACTTCTCCCGTTCACTAGATCCTCCATGTACCTTAGTTATTTAAGAATAGAGAACGAAAGATGGTTTACACGAACATAGTTAGTTTCTTGTAGGCAAATATAATCTAACATTTATGTAAATAATCCATGGGAAGGTCCCTTACCTAACACTGAGTCAAAATATACACCTATTTCAACCGCCATGTTTCCACGTTGTACGATGTTATCGGAGTGAAATTGACGTCTACGTACAATACATCCGCGCATTTACAAGTTTTGTGCTGTGAAATTTACTGTATACAGCCGTAAAAGTCTCAGTGGTAACATTACCAGGGGTTACTGAATTAGCGTNTTGAACTTTGAAGTAGTGAAACTAAAGCCAAAGAGTTGGAAAACACCGTCAAACACACGAAGCAGGAATGAGAACATTATCCATATAAATGAAGTGACAAGACCCCAGTTATTTCGGCTTACACTGAAGCAAGAATGCACCTAAGCAAGCGGCGGAATGAGTGAACGACGTTTTGACAAACCTGAACGCATGATTGGTATTCTGGGTAACTACTCCTGCTCCGCCGCGTTTCCAGTACTGAGTAGGCCAGTCAACCCAGTGAGATGGAAACGTTCTTTGCTTCATTATTTCGCCTTCAAGATCAGTGATTGACTACGTCTTCTGGAGTAAAATTGATCCTACTTGTGCGCATTCACAAGTCCTCGAATCTAGTTCGATACATTTTTCTTCAGTGAAGGTATATTCCAGCTAAGGTCAGTTAGGAATTACATGGCTGACAGCCGTTTTCTGCGAAGGACAAATTTCCCTTCGCTTTGATGTTATCGCTGGTGAGCACAACACATTTAAATAATTTCTGAGAATTGGAGGGTTTGGTTACATCGTATGGCAAATTTTGTCGTCTCAAGAGCAAATGAAGCGTGAACTGAGAAACTAGGAATCACTGCACACATGTTTCGACCTGGTTGGGTCTCATCAGCAGTGCAAATCCATCGATCCATTTGGAGATCAAACCCGGACATCAAAGAGAGAATGCGAGCATGCTACCCACTCGGCCATCGGGTAGCTGATCAAATCATTTCCTTGTACACGATCTAGCGCAATCCGTCTTTGCAAGCCTAATGTAGGCGCCGTTACTTGAACATCTCAACACTAAACTCTAGCGCTCCGACTTCATTTAAAACATTTAGACCTGAGTGTTTGTTCCATGAAACATCCAACCAACTCCTGCACTTCTCGCATGTCATTGCTCAAATGGAAGCAATTTCCTTATAGTTTGACTTTTTGAAAGCCGAATGGATGTATTTACATGTAATCACATTTTCTTGTCGAAAACGAATTCTTGAAACCGTTCAAATAATTCCAACCGATAGAAGATTTACCATGAGTTAAATAAATCAAATAGTTTATCCTCCGTTCAGATTGTAAGTTTGAATTTTTATCATAAGTCCCGGTTTCAGTTTAATTCACTAGACAACTTGTAAGTGAAGATCGATGCCGTTCCGACAACCCATGTTCAAACAAACTTTACTACTTATTGACGATATTATGCAAGTCGTCTTCTTTAATTGCAGCCATCTGGTTTTCTTTGTTTCTATCTAGATGATCAGTTTTTCACACTAATGTGCCTTAGAAATCTGGCACCGACCATTTGGTAGAACACTACGACAAGTGTCATTAAACTAACATGAGAGTGAACTGCAGGATGAATTCGTAGGTACGTAGGTTGAATGGACAAATAGACTGAACCCAGTTGGAGTAATAGCAACGCTTTTGATTGTCAAGTTAATTTTCCCGAAGACCATAGAATTATTTGAGTACAGATTGGTAGCTTTGTAGAAAAATCCGAAATTTTGCATTTTTTCTGTCACTATAAAAATGTTTTTATGCAAAGGAGGATGGAGTAGAAGAGTCAGCTCTCCGATCATTACTGTCAACGAGGTAATCCTAATGTACTTGTACAAATTGCGTGGTAGTTGAAATGTCTTTTCCGGGCTATTTCGGTCATTCGGTACAGATTTTAGTAATT